AAGTTTTGTCTAAAAAAAAGAATAATTAATCAGTGAAGGACAAATAAAGGTGCAAAACCCAAAAGGTGCCCTTTCAGAACTATTTCTAGGTTTGAAAAAGAAATGGACACTAGCACCGAGAAATGCAGGTGACAGAGGGAGATACAATGACTTATGTGCTCTACAGATCAACCCAAATTTAGTTGTGCTATTACTGGAGGTTGGGAGTACTCAAGTGACCCAAAATTTTGACGAAAAAACAAACAAGCAATGTTGACTATAAAAGAAATCATATTCCTTTGGCATGACATTGGTTCTTGACTGGAGGGACAAATGTTCCTTTGATGCTATATCTTTATCAAGTTAATTACATTCTCACGACTGGAGGGACAATGATGCTATATCTTTATCAAGTTAATTACATTCTCAATCATTAATATCTCTATCATATAATTTATACTAGAGATGGATAGTTGATTTCATTTTAAGTTATCTAAATGATTATAAACTCAATTACAACATTACTTAAGATGGTTTGTTAATTAAGCATTTTTTTTTAATGGTGACAATTCCAAATAGTCAAAGTGGATAATATAACTGAGATATAGGAAAAATGCACTTGGCAATTATCATGACAATTGGAGGTGACATCACTAATTTTTTATATAGTTATTTTTAAATATAACAATAAGATAATTGAACTTAATTTAAAATTAAAAATTAAAAATTATTTTTTTATCCACTTTGATCAACTTCTGAAAGAATTTGTTTAATAGTTAATCTTCTATGGGAACTTAGTGGTCCTAAAGAGCCCCAAGTTAGCCCAAAGGAATTCTCCACCACAAGAGAAAAAGGAAAGTTTACATACATACCGCACAATTCTTACATATTTACACGTCCAACATTTAAAGTTTCATATCTATATTTATGAAACATTGTTGTGATAAATCTATACATGAAAAGGTGTATTTTATTTAAAGAAAATAGATGATAGTGATACTATTGCTGTGATGTTAAAGCTTTGAGTGTTACAAATATAAATGTAGAAGTCTAGTTGTTGGATATGTAAATACATAAAGAATAGTTTGATATATGTAAATGTCCCATTTAAACAAAATGCATTTTTTAAGTTTTATGGGGGATAAATTTTTGTATGTAAAAACTCTTGCTAAAATATTTTTCTAAAAATCTTTTTTGATGATTTTTTTTTATGTGGCCGCATCAAGATTGTCGTCCGGACATGTGAAAGAAGAGGAATTCCAATATCACAATTCTCGGAATGAGAACCAGTATGGAGCAGAGTGCAGATACATTGAAGTCGTATATGCAGAATATATTGAGAAGCACCTACACAGATTCAACATGAGCCAAAACCGGTTTGCACTTCCTTAACCGATTAGTTTGGACTATCTAAGGAAAAATCGTCAAAGTCTGAAGCTGATCAAGCACAGATGAAAAAACCCTCTTATGCTTTGGTTATTGGAAATTTGATATAAGTGATGTTATACACAATACCAAATATTGCACATGCAGTGAGAGTGATTAACGTGTATATGAATAATCCGGGAAAACAACATTGGAAGGTGGTGCGGTGAAATAGTTTCCCAAATACTTGAAAGAAATAACTATCACTTTGCTTTAGAAGTGCAGGAATTGATCTACATGGATATGTAGATTCAGGCGTGACAGAAGCTATTGATGATAGAATAAGTATAACAAATTATATCTTCACTTTGAAAAATATAACAGTTGGTTGATTTTTCTGGTTGCAAATGTTTGTTGCACTTTGGTTATAATAATTTAATTATTTTTTCTTTTTTTAACAAAATATTCAAAATAAAAGAAAAAAAATTAAAAATTTTTGATTCATCAAAAGTTAGCTCAATTCACCGGTGCAACAACTGGTTCAATGTAAAAGTCATTTTGAATCATGATCGATCCAGCCGAAGTACAGGCTTATGAGCCACTCAAGTCTGGCTTCATCAAAACATATAAATACACACCATTGAGTCCGGCCCATAAACTCCCCCCAAGGGTACATTTATTGTCAAAAGAGGACTCGTAATTTATTTTTAATATTGTATTATGTTTATTCTTCATGCTATATTTCTTTTTTAACTAACTTTTTTTCAAAAGCAGATTCATTCCCCACGTAATGTCTGTCACCTGCATCACATAGATTATCAGGAGCAAGTACGATCAACTCTATCTCTCATGAAAACACATCTCTGTAACCACTCATGACTTATGGTTCGGGGATTTTGAAGTACGATCATATAATTTGAATTGGATTTGTATATTTGATTTAATTTTTTATACTAACACATGGATTAATTTTTATGTTGCAGAGGTCCTCACCTGACTCCCAAAGCATCACCATCAGATCCGTCGAATATTCGGGATTCTAGGTAGGCATTGCCTCAGAGACATTTTCACGACAGCTCGCTAAAGGGGTGAGTGGTATGTCTGGATCAATGAGGAGCTCAAGGGTCAGTTGTTCGCAGCTCGGGCCTCACCTGATTATAAGAGGAAGAGGCAGACAAACCAGACCAACCGGGTGACCGAGGAGGCCAGGGCATCTGCGCTCCATATTGGCAGACCAGTCCCCCATACGGAGCACTACATCAGGCTGGTAAGATTTCCTTAAATATTTAAATATTAATTTTAAATTTGAAGCAATTTTGTATTGCTAACCAATTTTGTACGCTACGCAAGCCAAGTATTTTAGTCGTGCTCCCTTCGTTGCGAAGCTGCATGCCCGAACTCATCGGCGCCTGGGGACTACGCAGTGGGTTTCGGAGCACTCCCAACGTACTGTAAGTTAAAAATC